TCTCCTCCACCGTCGGGCGCAGCGACTCGCCGTCTTCCACATTCTGGGCGTATTTCGCGGCGACCGTTACTCCAGGGTAATGAATCTCAGCCTGCGACCGCAGCTTCAGGCTAGGCGCTCTAGACGGGATTCTCACCGAGGTGAGACTGCGCCTCGGCCGCCGACCGTCCCTCTGCCGCCGACGTCCGTCCCTCTGATGCCGCCTCCTACGAATAGTGACAAGCAGGATACACTTTGGGTGCTGCTGATGCACATACTAAGGCCATAGCAGAGTGTATTTTTGATTGGACAAATGTTGTCCTGGTTTTCGAGCGTGTTTGAGCTATTTGAACCAAGCCACGCACAACCCCTCAAATTTAGGGGGAGCTAAAAATGAAGCATCCATTTGCAGGTGCTCGATGAGTCGTCAAATGCTTGAAGTGAGGGGGAGTCGAAGCTGAGCTCGGACCTTGCCACTCTCATATCCAGACGTCCATGTTTTCTGACCAAAAAGGGGGAGATGGAGAGCGACACGTCAATTGTAGTGTCGTCGAGTGCTCGACTTTATCACTGTTTGCATTTCTCATCTCTATCTCTTTTATCTCCGGTTTATTCTTTTCATTGTGTTATTTAGGGGAAGTTGTTGATGCTTATGATTTGGTATCATTCTGGTTGCTTATATTGTTTTGTTCAGAAAAGCAAAAAGGGGGAGATTGTTAAATATGTATTTTTGGATATTTATTTTATTTTGCTTTTCTGATTTATTTTAATATATATATATATATATATATATATTAGTTTATTTTATATGGTTTCTTTTCTTATTAGGTCTCTTACTTGGAAAGAATAGATAAATAAGGAAGAGCAGATTTTTTTTTCTGGTTTTTGATTTCTTTTAGAGTCCTTATTGCTGCAGGCTTGGGATTTGATTTTTTGGGCTTGGAGCTTTGCGTAGAAAAAGGGAAGCAAAGCAGCATCAAATAAATCTTTTCCTTGGGAGGCTTTGTGGGATCTTGGTCCAAGCAGCAACGTGGAGAAGGGCAACAGTGTGGGATGGTTTTTTTTTGAGGAAAGCGAAATGGACTAGCAATACTCACCCAAGGAATCTGTGAAGAATTTCGGAAGACAAGGACGGGATTTGAACATCGATCCTTTCATTATTCTCCCGAACTTGTGTTATTTATTGTTACTCGCTCATCATTCTCTTGGGAGTATTTTGGTTTATTATTTTGATACTCATTCGATATAGATTGGTTTTTGATAATTTTTAGTTCTTTCATTAGATGTTATTGTTACTCGCTCATCTATTGTTATTGATTTGTTCTAGTGGAATTTTGGCATGTGGCCTTAGTCTACAAGTGTATATTCACTTGTAGGCTAAATTTTGTTTATTCGTATTTATCTATTTCCGCTGCGTATTTGAATTTCTGATCTTTGTGTGAAAATCTGGATATTTGTGTACCTAAAATTCTAACACATGTAAGTTTAGTTAATTATTTTATCATACTGGGTTAACATGTCTTAATTCTTATAATGACAGTTGTAGAATTTGTTTTGTTCTTATAGTTTTAAACTTTTTGTGTGGAAACGATGTGATTGAGTTTGTGTTTGGATGCTCAGTTATAAAGTGCTCCTTTTAGAGTGTAAATGTGCATATATAGGCGAACTAATGTGCAATTTTTTAGAATTCCAGTTAGTTATTTCTGTTGTACTTGTTTAACATGGTTTACAGTGACAAATGCAGAATTTATTGTTTATAACTTACAGTATTGGTGAATTACGTTTTTCATGCTTTATTTTTGTNATTTTGGGCATGTTTTGATTGCAGGTTTATAAATTTTAGATGTAAATCATCGAACTCTTATGATTACACAAGGTGATATATAATATATAATGGATTCTAGAACGTGTATATGACATTGACAAGGTTAAATGTAATTGTTTGTAATTTCTACCAAATTGTTCTCCCTCTTACCACGAATCTTTAGTTGCAATTTGCTTTAATTTTTCTTTTTCTTTTTAGAATTTTTGTAGTGTAAGAAGAAACTTCGGTAATTCAAGTTTGTATGTGATTCTTGGACACTTTTGATTCTTTATTCATCAGTTATCTTATGTGAAATACTGTTTTCTATTGTTTTATTATACACAGTCAAGACCCAATCAAATCAGTTAGACATAAAATCTTAATCTACTAACATGTATTTTTGTAACTACTATTGTGCATGTTCAATGACAATAGTGTGCAATTACTTTCAAATATTGTGCCTGTTTCGAAAATGATGTTATGCCATCACTTTATCATATTGATCTCTTGTAATGTCATAATAAAGAAAATATTACCTGAAGTTCTCGACAGAGAATGCGTCCATATACAGACCCACACTTTGTTCAAGATTTGGACAAAATACAATAATACCCTCACATATACATATTTGACAGCAAAAATGAACTTACGATACTGCCACCGTGCCTTTAAATGTTTACACAATCTGAGTTGGACATCATCACACCCGTTGGGTTGGCAAATCAAAGGGCCGACCTTTATTCTTATTTATCTCATTATCTCTTATTCTCATTTGATCCTAATTCTATGCTATGTTATCAAAAAAATGTAGATTCTATCCAAAATCAAAATTGCAGATCAACGTGAAGAAGTAAATCAACTTTATATGTTCGATTCTACTTAAACAATACTTTTTCATCAATATTGAATCCATCAACACTAAATTATTTCAATTTGAATGCATTATTTTGAAAAAAAAATAAAAAATGCAATACCTTCTCTGTTACTGTCGTCACCCGATGAAATCGATCAAAGAAGCATATGAATAATTATTTTAAATAATAATCGTTTATCGAGTACAAAACATGAATAATTATTTTAAATAATAAATTTTGTTATTTTTTTAATTATTAGTTGTATAGTAATATTTTTATCATTCTATTATAAGAAAGTAAATCTCTTTATTTCTTTATTTTCATAAGAATATTTAATTTCCAAACACCCTTGTTGTTCACATACGCTATATTTATGTTGAATAATTTAATTATTATTTTTATTTAGACAAAAGTGAATATATATTAAATAAAATAAATAATACTTTATAAAATAGTTTATAGAATACGAAATAATATTTAAAAAAATTATTTTCTTATTAATTATTTATATTTTTTTATTATACAATATGAATTCATTTATTTTTCATTTTTTGTTAAACAATTAATTTTTCATGGATACAGTTATTATTAAAACTGATAAGATCAGATTAAAACTTCCCATTCCTATTCCTAATTCCTATCCTTTTAGGTCAATTAAAACAATCAACTCTCGAACTCTCCCTCTATGTATATATATAAATGACGCGTATCCGCATTAAATCGATACCAGAGTTATGGATCTCAATCCCGTGGATAGACGACGGCGACCGGGGTACGACTACCGCCACCAGATCCAGATCGACGACGGCAGGAATATGGACTCTACCGGCGTATGCAGTGCCGGGCTCGCTGGCTGTTCCACTTCCAGTTTAAGACCAATTTCATCCTCAAACCACAAGACGCCGGCGCCGGCGAGACCACCCTGTGCTCCGAGACTTTCGTCGACGTCCCCTTCCACGGCGAGAGCGAGATCCGGTTCTTCTTGTGCTCGAAGGTCCGGCTGAGGGAGTACTGGATGCCGGAGGCCCAGATCCAGGAATTGGTCAGCGAGGCGTTAGATTTGTGCCGATCCACGATGTCATCGACGGCGGACAGGGATCCACGTGTCGTCCCTGTGACCGTGACGATCGACGTCTGCACGGTGCAGCAGGACGGCGAGGAATTGGACGCCACCGTGGATCGGGCGATTACGATTGAGAATCTGCTGCCTGTGCTATTTTTCGACATCGATCGATTTGCCAGGGATAATTTCTTTGATGCGAGGGGCATGACGCTGGCGTATTTCGTCTGGGAAGATATGGTGAGGTTCAGATTGGAGGATGTCGAGTTGGGCTTGGGCTTGATGAGGATCTACCCGATATGCGGCCGGGCCCCCACACTTGGGGCCCAATTATCGACTATTGTGTGCGGTCACACGTTTCATTCCCACTGCATAGTTGGGTCATTGCTTAATAAGAACTCGTGCCCGGTGTGCAATGTGCCCGTCTATGAAGAAAATCCAGATTGCTTTTGATTAAACTGGGCTTAGGGCTTCATGCAAACCCTAGTTTTTTCTTTTTCCAATTTTATATTTCTACTCTTTTTTTTTTTTAATTT